TCGGCCACCCCAACTTTTTAAAATTTAGTTTTGTTAATTTAATTTAATGAAATCCATCCTTTAACTAAATGTGGTAATTGTGCAGTTGGCTACCTTATTGATTTCAAAGCATTATCAATCTTATTATGATTATGATTATGATTATGATGGAGTTTAGTTCGTGTCTTACTTTGCTAATTATAGTTTTATTCTGATTCTCTTAAATTAAACATTTAAAACAGGTATGCTTGGCACGATTAAATAGTAATTCTTGTATTTTTGAAATATAAAAATTTTATATTTTCAATTTTATTCAGGAACTTTAATATTTTAAAGGAATTATTATTATTATTATTATTTTTTTTTTTTAATAAAGGAACCAAAAGAAACTTCAAGCGCAATATATGCTTCGTTAATTGAACAACTTAACTCGAATTTGACATTTCTAATAACTAATTTGTACTCTATCACTAAAAATATATGTAGTAAGAAATTACTTATATTACATTATTACAATTAAAAAATGTATACATTTTTAGAATTACAATTAAAGTATACGAACTGCTTCTTCCAGCCATAAAGTTATTTTTGGATTATTCAAACTTGATTCGACGAATATTGAATTTGATTCAGTTACTATCTAGCCGAGTTTTAGCAATGATTCTAGTTTAATTCAAGCATCTTAATACTCGATTAAAGCAGCTCACGTGACTAGTCAAGTTTTTTAAAATTTTTAATATATATTGTTTACCTAATATAGTTATAATTTTATAACTTTAATCAGTATATTTATGTCTATATGTTATAACAAAATGACTATAATTGAAATTTAATATTTATTTTTAAAAAATTGTGACGACCAATTTGGTTCGCGAAAAAAAATTGAGGATGAATGTAATTTAAATTTCATGGAAAATAAATTACTAGAAAGATTGATTCAATTGTTTTGTTTTTGTTTTTGTTTTTTTTTTTTCTGAAAAAGAAATTAGTTGAATATTGATTCTGTTATGTGGTTAGGTTTGAAATTGTAAGGAATAATAAGTATAGAGATAGCATGCCCGGTTAAATTATATATAATATTTATATATTAATAATATTAACTTTATAATATATATATATATATATATATATATATATATATATATATATATATATAGGCGCCTACTGCAACCATGATATATATATATATATATATATATATATATATATATATATATATATATATATATATATATATATATATTTATTTATAATGTATAATAAAACTTTAAAACTAAAATTGGCTTAACCCTAGCAAACTGCCCAAAGTCCTCAGCCCTCTCTCGTTCTCCGATCCTTGACTCCGTGAGTCGACCCCGCCCTCCTCTCTTCAGCCGTCGCCTTCACTCCCTGCATGCCGTCCGCAGAAGATCGACCGACGTCTCTCAATCTCCTCTGTCGTCGCCTTCACTCATTAACTTAAAAATGTGTAAACTAATTAGCTTTTTTGTTGACTATATAATTTTTTTTGAATTACACCTCCATTTGATGACAAATCAAGGTATCGGACTAGAAAAGCTAAATTGTGTGTTCGTAATATACAAATTGTGAATTTTTAAAACGTAATTGTGAACATTTAGTATGTAAATTTTAAATATTTAGACCATGGTCCACCTTACAAGGTGTACCTACGTCCATAGAATAATTTGTCTTCAATTGGATCATAATAGTCCCTTGACTATTGATTATGATAAGTGTAAAACTCATGCAATCGAGCCCTTAAAGATTTTAAAGTTACAAAAATTATACAATTCTTAATATTAATAAGTTACCACAAGTAACACATCCGATCATTTGGTGTTGTGGCATAAAATTAGTGTTGATGTGGTATCTGTGTGTATTCATTTTTTTTTAATAATGTGGCACTTTATTCATTTTCCCATGCTAACCTAATTAAATATATTTTTAATTTTCAAAATAATAATAATAATCAGTAATAAAAATTTAAAAGTCTTATTTTTCCTTGAAATTGATTTGTGGTAGCTCGTCTATGCTACATAGATCATAGTGGTGTGAATTTGAACAAAAGCTATACCAATAAATGGAGTTACATGCAAAGCTTGTATTTGAATAGTGTTTTGTACTCTGTTAAACTCCAGCAAGTAGATGTTTTTCGAGTCCCAATGGATGCAGTAAATATTCTCGAGCCCGACTTTTAAGCTATTGAACTAAAAAGATCAAGCTGAAGGAAAATGCTCTCGGCTACAACCGCTCAGCCATTGGCGACAAGATCATCGGAAGATCAAGATCTTCTTGAACGAAGCACGAAGAAATCTAAGACGGGGCCTCATGAGATGGAAGAGAGTGCCGCAACGAAAGAAGTGACAATGGAAACTGGAGAGACGCCTACCCCTCCCACCGGCAGCGCAAGGTGAAAAGTCGACGGCAACCTTCTCATACAAGGCGGTTGCTGCTAATGAAGTGGTGCGCCAAGGCCCCACGGAGAAGGACCTGGAACTCATTTTTGATGATGAGGAGGATGTCGAAGATGGGGAAGACGATCCGATCTGCCCTAGAATCACCCTCACCAGGGAAGAAAAATACTACATGAGAAGTAAGTGGAAACTCACTTTGATTGTAAAAGTTTTTGGGAGAAATGTTGGATACACATATCTGTTACGTAGGTTAACGGCCATGTGGAGGCCTAAAGCAAGGATGGACCTTATTACGATCGACAATAGATACTACCTTGTGAGATTTTGGATCGGAGGATGACTACAACCATGCGAAATTTGGTGGACCATGGATGGTTCTTGATCATTATTTGATCGTTAAGGCGTGGAGACCGAATTTCGATCCACTCACTGATACTACTGAATCTGTCCTAGTCTGGGTTAGGCTCCCATACCTTCAGGCGGAATACTACGACCACAACTTCCTAATGAAACTAGGTAAGAAGATTGGTCGACCTATAAGGATTGATACAACAACGAGTGAAGGTACGAGGGCTATGTTTGCTAGAGTCTGCGTAGAAGTGGACATCACAAAACCCCTGTTATCAAAATTCACGTCAAGGAGACGAGTCCGAACTATGATGTATGAGGGTCTCCATTTGATCTGTTTCAAATGTGGTATGTATGGCCATAATTCCGACATGTAGGGGTGGGAATAGGCCAGGCCCCTTGTAGGGGCCTATGTCATGACCTAATTAAAGCCTAGTTAGGCCTAGCTCGTTTAGTAAAAAGGCCAGGCTTGAGCCAATTTCAAAGCCTATTAAACTAAACAGGCCAGGCCTATATATACCAGGCTCGGCCTTCAAGCCTACATGCCTGGCCTATATATGTATATATATTCTATTCTATACCAAATATTTTTATATTTACAATATAACCCCAAGTATATATAATTACTAAACCTTAACCCTCCACATCCAAAATCACATTCTAAATTATGATTCAACTATAAACATTGATGTTAATCCTGCTATAAGTGTTCTTATTGTGTAATTTTTTTTATTAACTGTTCTTACTATCATAATATTTAATGAAATATCACAACTTAATTATGTGAGTTGATTCTTAATTATTTATGATACTATATAGGATAACAAACAGTAATACAATTGAATTTATTTCTAAACAAGTTAACGAGCATGCTGAAGTCGTGACTTGTTTTATTTTATTTTATATTTATTTACTATTATGTTTGCATTGTGGTGATATACTTATGTAATTATGTATTAGTTTTGTATTAGGTACATTTCTTATATTATTTTTTTTTTTTGAAAATTCTTATATTATTATTTTTTTTTTTTTGAAAATTTATATTATTTAGATATACTAAAGTTTTTAAAAAGTCTTTACATGTAGGCTTTAATAGGCTCAAGGTAGGACTTACTTTGAAGCATTTTTAATGACCTAAATATTAAACAAGCTTTTAATAAGGCTTCGGGCCAGGCCAGGCTAATTAGCCTAACAAAAAGCCTATATACAGGCTCAGGCCCAGGCCTAGGCTTTAAATTTTCACTAACAGGCCCAGGCCTAATTTTCCAAAGCTCGGCTCGGCTCGGCTTATTTCCACCCCTACCGACATGTGCCCAAAAAACGCCCCCCAGTAGGCACGGATGAACATGTTCAGAACCCCATCGGCGAAAACCACCCTGCGCCAGCGATCGGAAATGCCAACGAAAAAACTCAAACAATGAATGGAAAGATTCACCCTGGGAAGGAAACTCCTATAATCCGGCTGGAAATCGTGCATGACTATGGATCATGGATGATTGTTCAGAAGCTGGAAAGGAAACAAAACAATTATCAAAATAGACGTGATCCGAGGGTAAACAAAAATGGTAATAATGGAGGCAACGGTCACAAGGGAAAAAATATTAGAAGCGATAAAAGAGGAGGTAAACAGGGGTCTCGATTCGGTGTGCTGGAAGTTGAGCAAGATGGAAACTGCGTGGAGATTTTTCCAGAGGTGGACAATTAGACTACTGGGGCGAATAAAAACAAAAATGTCGAGGCCCAATCCACACATGCTGGGCTGGACAAGGGTAAAAGGCCTGCGGTGCAGGTCTCTGAGAAGCAGACTCAGAACGCTAGCACATCCACAAAAAAAAAAAAAAAAAAAAAAAAAAAAAAAAAAAAACCACTACGGCCCAGGCCAAAGGGAAGCAAGCTAATCAAGCGGCTGCGACAAAGGAACATATTCTGGTGCAGGTGATAAGGAAGGTGGAAAGTCTCCGGACATCGTCTACATGGATACAGCAGAGGGGTACATGAACCCCCTGTTCGCTGATGATAACGAGACAAAACACTTGAATGATCCCCCAGATGATACCCGGGGCGGCGAAGGGAACCGAAGGGTGGCTGATTTTGAGATTACCGATAGTCCAAACCTGTCGGAGGGAGGGGAGATGGAGGTGGAGCTCTAAGCTGCTCCACCCCTGGTCAGCCTCCCTTGTTTTCTCCTTTGTTTTTCCTTTGCTGTGTTGTGTTTTTGTTTTGCGTGTTTGTCTTCTCCTCATTTTTCCTGTTTTTTCCATGATAGTTATCACATGGAACTGCCAAGGGGCGGCGTCTAAAGGGTTTATTAGAGCCGCCAAATGGATGATCAGAAGCCACAACCCCGACATTCTTTGCCATATGGAAACAAAAACCTCGGGCACTAATGCGGATGATGTCTGTAAGAAGCTTGGTTTCGACAAATGGGCTCGTGTCGAAGCCCTTGGTTTTAGCGGGGGGATTTGGATCCTCTGGTATGATGATTTAAACATCGAGATCCTATCTTCCCACCCCCAGTTTATTCACATGGCTGTCGAAGGTAAAAACAACAATAAATGGACTTCCATGACAGTTTATGGAAGTCCGTCTTTGCACCTGCGAAAACGGCTTTGGAATGATCTCAGACAGAATAAAACAAAGGTGAGTGGTCCCTGGCTTATTGCGGGGGATTTTAATGCAGTCATCAGCAACGAGGAAACCTCTAACCATGATGGAGGAACAAGCCACAGAAACGAGGATTTCAAGAACTGGATTTTCAATGAAGGCCTTGTCGACCTTGGTTATACAGGCCAGCCTTTTACTTGGAAGCGGGGAACTGATCTTTCGATGTTCAGAGGGGCTAGACTTGATCGAGCACTATGCTCGATGGACTAGCTTGAAACTTTTGAAGAAACAGCGGTAACGCACCTAGCTAGCAGCCAATAATTCGGATCACTGTCCGATCAAAGTCAGTGTTGGCCGCAGGCCTAGTACAAATCCAGCCTCTTTCCGTTTCCAGGGGGTGGACTAGTCATGCTGCTTTTATTGATGTCATCAAAGATAATTGGAACAATGCTGGGGATGTGTGGAGCAACAGAGACAACATGGCAACAAAACTAAAGAAGTGGAACAGAACAGTCTTTGGTAATATTCACTCCCGCAAAAGGAAGCTTGAAAGACGGCTGGAGGGTATCCAGAAAAGTTTGGATGGGATGCAACATCGAGGCCTCATTAAGCTTGAAAGAAAAATCAGACAGGAATTTGAAGATGTTCTCCATCAGGAAGAAATTCTTTGGTTCCAGCAAGCTAGAGAAGAATGGATTTGTTCGGGGGATGGAAATACTAAATTCTACCACGCCGCTACAAAAACGAAGAGAGCTAGAAGAAACCAGTTTTATCTTGAGAAAGAGGAAGGAGTCCCCTTCAGCAACATAGAAGAAGAGGAGGGGACTATCAGGTCTTTCTTCGAAACCCTATTCAAAAAGGATCAGGAATCGGATCTTTTATTGTTGAATGATGTCAGCTTCCCTACCATCCCCGCCACCTTCTGGAATTTTTTCAATGAAGAGTTCTCGTTGGAGGAAATTAAAAACGTGGTGTTCGAGATGAGCCCTCTTTAAGGCCCCGGGCCCAGATGGTTACCATGCATGCTTCTACCAAAAAGCTTGGAATATTGTCGGTCCTTCGGTCTTTAGGCAAGCTAAAAAGTTCTTTGAGAACGGGGTCCTAGAAACAGGCATGAACGACACCCTCATCACTTTGGTGCCGAAAATCTCTTGCCCCGTGAAAGCTAGCCAGTTCCGTCCCATCAGTCTTTGTAATATTATTTACAAAGTTATCACTAAGGCTATGACCGATCGTTTAAAACCAATCCTCAAAGAAGTCATTGGAAGAGAACAAAGCAGTTTTGTCCCAGGTAGACAAATTGTGGACAACATTCTTGTCTACCAAGAAGCCCTTCACTCTATGAGATCCAAGCAAGGCACGAAAGGTTACATGATTTTGAAGGTGGACCTCGAAAAGGCCTATGATAAACTTGACTGGGACTTCATCCGAGATACTCTCAAAGGGGTTGGCATGAAAGATACCTGGATCAAGAATATTATGCAATGTGTTGAGACCACTAGATATGGAATTCTCTGGAATGGTAAACAATTGGACTGGATTAAGCCTAGTAGGGGCATAAGACAAGGCGACTCCATCTCACCCTACCTTGTTGTCCTATGCGTGGAGCGGCTAAGCCTCATTATTAAGCAGCAGGTTCGAGAAAGAAATTGGAAAGGTTTAAAAACCAGAAGGTATGGCCCCTCCCTATCCCATTTGTTTTTCGCTAATGATTTGGTTCTTTTGCAGAAGCCACCCAAAATCAAATAAGGGTGATCAAGGAATGTTTAGACAGGTTTAGCAAAGCCTCGGGGCATAAAATTAGCCTAAATAAATCCCAAATCTTCTTCTCCAAAAATGTGGATGCTCGAGAAAGGGATAAAATTACTGAAATTACGGGGATCCCAGTCACACCAAACCTGGGAAAATACCTGGGGGTTCCCTCTATTCATGGAAGGATCACTAAGAATCTATTCAATCCTATTCTGGACAAAATTGACTCCAAACTAGAAAGATGGAAGACTAGGTACCTCACCTTGGCAGGTAGACATATACTTGCCCAATCAGTTCTCCAAGATATTCCCTACTATAGCATGCAATCCACTTTTCTCCCGGCCGGCATCTGGGAAGCCATAGATAAAAGAATTAGAAAGTTCATTTGGGGTGGCACCCTGGATAAACATAAATTCCACCTTATCCGATAGGAGAATGTTATAAAGCCTAAACAGTTGGGAGGACTCAGTCTTAGAGCGTCGAAGGACGTTAATCTAGCTTTTATGACAAAGCTTCGATGGTGCATGCTCAATGATAGCCTCTGGAGTCATATTTTGAAAAGCAAATATGCCCATGACAAACATGGCGTAGAGATATTTCAGCCAAAGCATGGAGCTTCTAACGTCTGGAGAGGCATTATAGCTGCTATGCCAATCATTGAAAAGAACTTTCGCCACAATGCGAGATGCGGCAAGGAGGTGCAGTTCTGGAAGGATGCATGGATCACCGAGGAGCCGATATGTAATATCACAAGCCCGGGTGTAAACAACGAAGGTGGTGTTTGGGTTTCGGACTACTGGGATGCAACAGGTGGTTGGAAATGGGACAACCTCCCAAACCTCCCGCCCGACATCAAACAAAAAATAGCGCTGCTCGAGCTAACAGAACAAAATGACGAAGCGATCTGGACATCGGAACCCTCAGGTATGTTCTCTATTCGCTCAGCCTATAATCAGATTCATGGATATGTCTTGGATGTGCAGGACTACTCATGGAACAACATATGGAAGTTGTAAGTGCCCATGAAAATGAAAACCCTACTATGGGTTATCCTCCATGATAGAGTCATGGGCAACGCTGAAAGGAAAAGACGAGGCTTCACCTCGGTGGGAGATTGTAATTTCTGCCCGGGCCAAGAGGAGACCACAAGCCACATCTTCTGACACTGTATAAAAACAAGAGAAGTCTGGGAAGTTCTCAACCGATAATTTGGCAGATGGAACAACAACCACCCTGCATGCCTCAAAGACTGGATCACCGGCAACATACGTGCGGATAGGAAATAGATAGAAGGCATAAACAGACCAAAAATGTTTGCAGCAACTTTATGGTGGATTTGGATATGGCAAAATAAGAGTGTCTTTAGATGTGAAGAACTCGACCCCAACAGAAAGATTGCGTGGATCAAAGAAACAGAAAGGGAGACCCAAAGGGTCTTCCGTAGACACCAAGTTCTCAACCCCAGACATAACAGAGAGGCAAACCAGTACATCCGCTGGACTCCATCCAATGAACACGTACGTTTGGACCTTAAATGTCGATGCCATTATAAAACCGGCCTCCCAATATGCTGGCTATGGAGGTGTCCTCCGAAGAGCTGACGATGCATTGAGGGGAGATTTCTGTGGAAAATCCAATCATGAGGACATTGAGATCATTGAAGCTGAGGCCATCACTAAAGGCCTTGCTTGGGCTTGGAAGATCGGCGTCAGGGATGTGGAACTCCAGTCTGACTCTAAGTGAGTAACCCAGTGGATTACCAACAACACTGAGCTGCGAGGACCTATTTGCACGTACATTGAAGAAGCCAGACATTGGCTGAAGAGGAACTGGAAAGTGACTATCCGTAACATCTTCCGTGACAAAATGAAAGCGCTGATGCGGCTGCCTCCCTGGGAGCGATGATGGAGAGAAACTGGAGAGATTTCGACGAGTGTCCACCCGGCATGGAAGAGATTATCGAACGTGATTACTTGCGCATTTCTTGGGCGCGCAATGGAAGCAACTAGTCTCACACGGGGTCCCCCATTCTCTTGATCAAAAAAAAAAAAAAAAACTCCAGCAAGTAATGCCACTACTAGATTTTGTTAAAATTTTTAATTTGAAAGTGTTATAAATATTTCATTCATTATGGACATTATTGTTGATTTGTAACTTATGTAACAGTTATGTCATTTAGTATAATACTTAAAATGATTGTACATGTATAATATATTAAGATATTGGAAGAGCATAATGATGTTCTCTGTGGCTTATTATGTTCTGCATCTTTTCTCTACCATGTTTATCTAGATTCCCATTTATCAATATGTTTGAGCTAATAGGCTGAGGCTGAATACAACACATTATCAGCATGCTCTCTAGGTGAACGGAAACCCAAACCCTAAAACCAGGCACGCCAACCGCAATTGCTTTGGCGATTTGCGAGAAAAGAGTCACAGAACCTTCACAAACTTCTCTGGCCATTTTTTTCCGACGTCGGCAGTCGGTGTTTGGCCGAACTGAATCGGTCATCTTCTCGGTCCCTTTGAGACCACTATGGAGGTGGGTCGTCCGCCTCCAGAACCACCTGAAGCGGTTGAGAAGTCTACATGTTCATGAAATTCGCGACTTTCAAGCAGATTTGCGACGCAGGGGTTCTACGTTATCTCCATCGACGATCAAGCGTCTCCAGGATAGCGAAGCCCTACCTCGATTTTCAGAGGCTTTCGTCAAGCCGTCCTCGCCATCATCCGGTTGACGATCGTAGGCCATCTGTGATTTCTTATAATCTGCCTGAGTCAATAGCGCAATCTCCGGCGATCCATCCATCGGAGATGTTTGACTTAGAGTCACCTCTTAATCGCAATCAATCGCCACTGCTCCGATCGATGATCGACTGCCAATGATCAGGGTGACAATTGGAGGCTATCCGCGATTGGTCTGCCGTCTGTTTCTCTTGGTGTCCAATCAAAAGCTACAATGGTGAGACAAGTCTATATATATATATATATATATATATATATATATATATATATATATATATATATATATATATATATATGTATGTATAGCTTAAGTATCAAACTACTATTACATACCAAGAACACTAAAGAAGAAAGGTCCAAGCCAATGAATCTCTCAGGTACATATCAAAGAATCATTCCTCTATGATTTATGCCATAATTTATGAAATCTGTTTTGGAGTATGGATATTGCCGTTAGGTATTCTACATGCTAAAAGGCAAGAAACAATGGCTACATATTAGAAGTTTGTCAAACAACCTTCTTGGAGAGCTAAGTATTCTTACTTTCTAAGTAAATATCTCTACCTGCATATATTTATTTGATATATGATATAATTACTATGTGCATGTGACCATTTTTTCTTGAACATATGTCTTTATCGACTATTAAAAAATGTATAGCGATTACCTTGGGTGACTAATACCTATATGGTTATTGTCCGATGATTGGCTTGGGTCACGCAGCATCGTGGCAACGGCAATTAGATATTGTATTTTTTATTTCCATAATAATCTTTATTATGATATTGAAAATCATATTTTGAGTTCAAATTTAACTCACCACATATCACAAATCAATTCCTCAAGAATTGTTATCCTAGTACGTGATTTCAAAATAAACATTTCCCTATCTGCATTAATTTTTGTGTGCCCGATGGCCTTTAGCTCCTAACTAGTGGGTTGCATGATTGTATTAATAACATAATGAAAGGTATAATACTAAAATGAAGAACAAGGGATATGGATGAAGAGGGGAGTAAGAATTTCATTCTCTTAGAATCATCATCATTACAATGGTGTACAACATATGTATATATAATACAGTATTAATAATGATTACATAATGAGATATTAAAACAGACGTTACAAAATAATGGCCACCATTAATATATTTATAACACTTCCCCTTGGACATTATGTGACCACGACCTTGTCTCGTTAAAAACTTGCTAGGAAAACCCTGTGGGAAAAGAACCTAAACAAGAAAAGAGTACAAGGTATACCGGTAGTATATTCAAATACATTCATGCCTCATTAAAAACTTCACTAGGAAAACCACGTGGGAAAACCCTAGTTGAAGAAAATAGTACATGATATATGTAAAAACATATATTGTATTGGTCGCCTCATTAAAAACCTTAACTTAAGAAAATCCTGTGGGAAAAACTTAGTTAAGGGAAAAAGAGTACAACCATATGCCTTCAGGGCGCAAACTGCATAATCTTCAGGATTTTGGG